TTATGACACTTTCTTTCCCAGGTAAGGCATTATTTTTTTTTTCAGCCTCTTCTCCTTTTGCCCTTTTTCTTTCAACTTCTTATACACTTGGGGTTTTGTTTCTTTCATCTTTTATTTTCTCAACTATGAATTCCTACTATTGGATATATATTAATAGCTAATTTGTTTTTAATTTGTTATTTTTGCAGGTTGTATTTCTTTTATTATGAGGTAAATTCTTCTTTTAAATTTGATTTATTCTCTTCATATTCTTTTATTTCAATTACATCATAATGTATATCAATAATGTAGATTCCATTTCTTTCTCTTTTTGTGCAGAATTTTTATCTCAAAATAAGGTAAGTTTTTACTTTAGTTTTTATTTATTTTCATTTATTATTTCTTGTAATGTTAGTTTATAGTTTATAACATTATTTCATATATACTTATTCTTTTAGGACTTGGATTCTGCTTTGAATTTCAGTTGTTGATTGTTTGTAATATGACTAATAGAAATAAACACAAATAAAAATCACAATACTGCTGGATTCTGCACCAAAATTTTTTTTGGGTGACAGTATATATAATCGACAGCCTAATGCTGTTGGTTATATACGTAAAAATAAAAAAAATAATAATAATAATCGACAGCCAATTGGCTGTTGATTATATTGCTTAGTATTTTGCAATTTCTTCCGTACTATTTATAATCGACAATATTTTTGTCGATTAAATACATATAATCGACAGAAAAAAATTTTGTTGATTATAATGATTTTCGACACGAGTTTATGTGACAAACAATGCTGTCGATTATGTCTGTCGGTTATAGTTATAACCGACAAAAAACAACTTATAATTGACAATTTTTTCTGTCGATTATACCCGGTTTTCTAGTAGTGTGTCTTTATGCACCTTGCTGAACTTGAAGCGCTGGAGGATGACATGTCAAGAGTGCTCAATATCTCCTATGAAGGCAGTCATCGGTATGGGCCTTTTAGTCCAAAGTATCTGAACTCATTCATTGTATTCATCGGAATAGCCTTAAAAGGGAGACGGTATACGAAAATTTCAACCTACGGATCAGGATATTCAACTCTTCCATCCATCTTGAATGCCACTGAGATTTCCAGGGAAAAACAGTTCTAAGAGTTGCAAACAGCTCAAAAAGATGGTACGTTCTTAAAAACACAGAATCAATATCCGTGAAGATGGTTCTCGGAGTTGCAAGCAGTCAGACTGTTTTGTACACCGGTTAGATATGTAGTTAATTTTATCCAAACCGCTTTATAAAAATGTTTGATAATTGTTTTCTTCTACAAAGCACTACAAAGCACAGAAGCAAGCGAATTTTTCTCAAATTCTAAGGAAAAAAAAAACTTTTCTTTAACTTTTTCCTATTAAACACTTTTAATGTTAAACCATTCTCAATAAATGGATGTTCTCCCTACTTTCATTTTTAGTAGTCTTACTTTGATGATTTTACCTTTGAGATATAAATTTTAAATGAAAATTTAATAACTTATATGATCAATAATTAAAAAGTTTTTTTTTCCTATATGAAGTTTTTGTTAAGCATTTTTACTCGATTAAAAAAATTTTAATTATCATTTATATACTAAGTTAAATTTTCATATAAAATTCATATATAAAAAGTGAGAAAATCAAACTAAGATTACTAGAAATGAATGGATGGATTAATTGTTAAGAGTGCTTGAACTTATAAAATGATAAAGTTCTCTCTTTGTTTTTTTTTTTTTTTTCCTTATTTAGCAGTCAAGATGTTCCTAGGTTAGCTTGCATGCATTTTGAAGCTAGGTAATTTTTCTTTGGTTCGTCACACTTTGAGACTAATTTTTAATTAAAGGTTAACTATCTATGCTGGGATTACGGAATTTATGAGTAATTTCCTCCTCACTGGCCTCCCCAAGATATTGAACCTTGGTCAATAAGGTCAAAGTAAACTCCTTTACTAAGGCACAACTCCTTTGGCGTAAAGTTCTCTTTTCTTTTCTTTTTTTTTCTTTATATATCAAACATTCAACTTCCTTAAAAAGAAAAAGAATGGCCCTAGACCAGGCATAGGGATGATGACAAGTTCCCACAAAGCCGAGGATCTTCTTCCAATCCTCATTCTTGTCAATAACAAGTATCAAGATCCTCACAAAGATTTTTGATGGGAGATAAAAATGCTCTCCATCTCTATCCTTACAAGACATGAAGAATCACTATGAGTATGGAGAATTCCCATCAAAATAAACTAAATGTTTTCATTTGGAATTTAAATTGATGAGGGGTAGGTTTTTGTGAACTAGATATTTATCACTTGAGAAAAAAAAAACAAATAATTAAATTAAAATGCCATGTAAAATTAATTTTCGGAAGCTAATACTTACAAATTTAATAGGAAAAAAGAACAAAAGCAGAGAAATAGCATATCAAACATTATAAATTAAAACCTCACTATATCTCAATTGATTCACTTTGAATTTCTTCTCACACATTAAAAAACTGTATGAAATCCTGCTTCTAGTTTTTAAAAGGGCTAAATTTGATATAACACTCAGTAAATTCATTCCAAAATATCTCAACCATTTTATAATTTTTTTAACTTTAAAAATTGAAAGTACTCATTCACAAAAATAAGTAATTAGACCAATGCAAGCTCTACATTAAAGGTAGAGATAGAGCATCCCACTACTTTAAATAGAATTGATATTGACAATATGATAAACTAAATGATATTAATATTATTTGTGTAATTGGGTTTATTAGTGTATTTTATAAAAATATAAATTTATAGTCTTTTAGTTTCTATATGGACCACTATAGTGCCCACGAGTGGAGACCTTTTGCAGTATCTTCGGGATACCACTATTTCAACATTTTTTTTTCAACACTTCATCAATCATCTGACCAAAAGAGAAGAGATGGCATGCTTGTATTGGCCGTGGTATCCCGGGGATACAACAAAATTTTTCTCATGAGTGAGGAAAATCCCTGGCAAGTATGAGAAGAAATATTTTAAGAATTTTCGTCCCTGCAATGGGATCCCGTAGAGGCCATGGGGTGCGAAGAAAATTGCCATCTCTATCCAGCACCCAAGGGCCCTAATTACTAACTCCGAGTATTTACATCCCAGTCTACACGCAACGCAAGATCCAGTCGCGGGGTTAGGGAGAAGTTTGTGTCTGATTGAATCAGCACGTTCGTCATGCGGTTTTCTATTAGACATTTCGTCGAACACTGTTTCCGGTCCCACAGGGCACGGATGATTTTCCATCTTCAATCATTTCTACTCAGTTGGGGCTGCCAGAACCACACGTAGGGTTAAGGAAAAGTCGTCGTTGATTGAATCAACGCGTTCTTCATGCGGCTTTCTCTTAGACAATTCCCATCTTCCATGACTACTGCTTACTTGATACTTGCCCCCATTGGAGCACTATTGTCTTTTCTCTTTGTTTTTATTTTTGTGCGACTTTTGAGTAGTCTGTCTCAACATTGAAGTGGATAGGTATGTAGATTGAGTAAAATATAAATCAGGATGATGTAGCATTAAGAGTTTCAACAATGCCATGCTTTTTTTTTTTTTTTTAACATTGATACTAGAAATTGAACCTTAAATTTATAGTTAAAAACAGAACCAACTTTATCACCGGATCACATAACTAATGGTCAACAATGCAATGCTTAAATCTAGTCTTAACGTACGTGCATCAGTGGTGCACCATGTACTAACCGATACTACTGTTTTTCCTGGAAAGAGAAGAGGAGTACTTGTTATTAGCGTTCTCCTTACTCCAGACATATGGTCGACGTTTTGTGCAACAAGTTTGCTAGGGAGTGCTTATAAAAATGTAGCCAATTTAGCAGCAGCAGAGGCAGTTGCATTTACTGGACTAATCAGATCCTTTCTAAGGTCTAGATTACTTTGGGAGAAGAACGCTAGCTTGGTACTGAAAAGCCAGGTAATTGGTGCACAGATCTTCTTGTAGTTCTACTATAATATACTGAGCCAGGTAGTTGGTTGTTTATAATATTCAATTTTTAGCTTTTCATTTTTATTTACTCGGGTACATGAGAATTAGCTTGTGTACTTGTTCTTTGCTTACCAGGTTCAGGTTTGAACCTGACAACTTTAATCCCATAATAAAGACTTTAACTTAGTAGATACTAATGAAACTAAGCTCTGGTCGGCTTATTAATTAGGTGCACATCACTTAATAAACATTATATTTAAGAGATGCTTTGATTTTATTTTGTTTATACTTTGCATTATATGTATGTCAAATGCATTTTATTTTATTATTTTATACGACTTCATTGTGTTTGTATTTTGTAAATTGTAACTTGTAAGATACTAATTGCTTTCTCTGTTTCCTCAGTGAGAGCTAGGATGGAGATGTTAAGTTATTTCCTCCTCGCATTGCTTGGTAGCTTTGCTCTTCCAATTTACGTTCATGCTCAGGATCAAACAAGTTTGGTTTCTAGATCTTTGAATAACACTCTAAATGATGCGCCTCTAATGAAGGAAGTTAATTAGGCTTTCCTACGTTTCTCCTTCAGGTTTCATTAGTTTAGATTGTGGATTGCCCGAAGATTCGAGCTATTCTGAAGCTGTAACAGGCATAAGTTACATTTCAGATGCTGCCTATGTAGAAACTGGAAGTAGTGAGAGTGTACTATCTGAATTCACGTCAGGGGAACACAAGCAGATGTGGACTGTTAGGAGCTTCCCTGAAGGGGACAAAAACTGTTACAACCTAAACCTCAAAAAGGGTGATCGGTATTTAATCAGTGCATCGTTCATGTATGGAAACTACGACAAAAAAAATGAAGCACCACAATTTGATCTGTACCTGGGGCCTAACTTCTGGAGTACGGTGGCATTACCAGATGCGTCAACTACAAAGTTCTTGGAGATCATTCATACCCTCCAGTCAAATCACTTGTATGTTTGTCTTGTAAATACAGGGAATGGGACGCCATTCATTTCGGTATTAGAGCTAAGACCTTTGAAAAATACAACTTACGAAAGTGAAACTGGATCCATGGAGCTCTTCATAAGGTACGATGTTGGTTCAACAACCAATTCATTCAGGTATGCGCTATTTCCAATGTCATGATAAAAAGTTTGGTAACAAAACAAGTTTATTTATATACCTCTGCGTGACTGCTTGGACCAGGTTTAACAAAGATGTTTATGACCGTTTTTGGTTGCCTTACAAAAGAGAAGATTGGACAGAGATAAGTACTTAATTCTCCATTGACTCTGGAAGTTACAATGACTACCAACCACCATCCCTTGCAATGATATCTGCTGGGACGCCTGCTGATGCTCGTAATTCGTTGGATTTTTACCTTGACTCGTCGGACTTTAATGACAAGTTTTATATCTATATGCACTTTGCTGAAGTTGAAGAGCTGGAAGCCAACACGTCACGCGTGATGAGCATCTCTCACAACGGTGTGCATTTGTATGGGCCTTTTACTCCTGAGTATTTGCATGCAACCACTGTATTCACCCGAACAGCCTGGAAAGGTGGACAGTATGCGCTCTTTTCAATCTACAAAGCAAGAGGTTCATCTCTTCCACCCATCCTTAATGCCTTTGAAATTTACAAGGAAAAACAGTTCCCAAAGTTACAAACAGCCCAACGAGATGGTAATTTCTTTAAAACTCAGAATCAATATCCATGATGTTAAAAGTGAAAACAATTCTCATGTATATTCCAACATAATGTAGATGATGCTATCTTGAACATAAAATCAATATACGGATTGAAGAGAAACTGGCAAGGAGATCCTTGTGCTCCTCGTGGACACTTGTGGGAGGGTCTTGACTGCAGACAGAACGATAGTTATCCACCTAGAATCATATCCTTGTAAGTCTCTCTGCCTTTCTCCTTGAGTTATTAATAGTTTAGTATGTTTGTTAAATGAACAAAGTAACTGTGAAACAGGAATTTATCCTCCAGTGGTTTGACAGGAGAAATACCTTCTTGTATAGCCAATCTCACCGAATTGCAATATCTGTAAGAAACTCCTTGTTCAAGGTACTAGCTAGCAAGTTGCAGAATTGACGTGGAACATAATCTTAATTATTTTCTGTTACATACCAGGGACTTGTCTAACAATAGTTTGGCCGGATCAGTTCCTGAGTATCTTTCCGAGCTGCAGTTCTTGAAAGTGAAATTTCTTTCTCAGTTAAAATACTCGTTACTGCTATGCAAATTGCAGAAATTTGGAAGTAAACATGCTTTATGGTTCAGTTCCAGCCAAACTAATTAAAAGGTCAGAGAATGATTTGATATTAAGGTATGTCTGCTCTCTTCAAAAAAGGGTCAAATATTCCCATTCTTCCATTCCCATGAATTGCATATCTAATGTGCTTTAAACTGGAATTTGGTTAAATTAGAGTCAAAAGGAAATCCAAATCTTTGTGCATCAACGTCATGCAAGAAGACAACAGGCAAGGGTATTGTTGTTCCAGTAGTAGTCTCAGCTTCTTCACTTTTGGCCATCATAATTGCATCGGCTATCATTTGGAGACTTAAAAGGAGAAAACTTCTTGGTACGAGATAACTTTCACTACAAACATTAATCAGTGGATTTTTAGACAAATAAAACTGACGCACCTGTATGTGCTCTTGGAAAATTGTTATCCCTAACAGAATTGCTATGATTTTATCAGCTAGGAAGACGGTAGCTAGGGAGACGGAGGGTTACAGAAAATCATGCCTCTCACTGGGGCCAAAAAATCCAAGAGTAACATATTCTGAGGTCCTGAAGATCACAAACAATTTTGAGAAAATTCTTGGTAAAGGATCTTTTGGAACGGTTTTTCACGGCTACTTCGGTGACATTCAAGTGGCAGTGAAGATGCTTTCTCCACTATCAGTTCAAGGATATAAGGAATTTGAAGCAGAGGTTATGACCCTAATTGGTGCAGAAGTTTTATCTTATGTAGCACCTGAGTGCATCTAGGGATAGATTTTAAGATACTGAATCAAACCCACTTATTAATAACCAAAAACACTGCTTGATTTTGATCCCCTTTTCTTTTCTTTTTTTGTTTTTAGGTCACACTTCTTTTAAGAGTTCATCACAAAAATTTGACAAGACTCATAGGATACTGTTATGAAGGCACCTACATGGGGCTAATCTATGAGTACATGGCC